AAACTGGCTCACAAAGTTCAAATTCAATGCGTAAGGCTTGTTTCTTCATGCTTGGGGTTGCAAGGCTTGATTAGTATAGCAGCCTGAATTACTACTATGATGACTCCTCAGGGTTCAATCTTATGCTGATTATTCCACAAAATAGGCGGAAACCTTAGTTTTAATTAGAAAGGCCATCTGGGTAGTTCCCGAATTAGGGTCCCTTTGAGGGCCCGCTTTTATAAGGGTGCCGTACTATTTTTGGGCCCAATGTGTGGTTAAAAGGGAACCCTAATTTCGAGAACGAACTACCCATCCAGTATTGGGTTCTATATGCAGAAGATATGTCCTCCACGCCTCAGCCGTGTTTAGCAGGCTTAGGGTCGAAGGCTTTGGGTTTGAGAGTTTAGGGTTTTGGGGTTGAGGGGTTTAGGGTTTAGGGGTCTAGGGTTGAGGGCTGAGGAAATTTCGGGTAGGGGGGTTAGGATTTTGCCTCGTGTGCGACGCGCTGCCATCGCAGTCGGATGGCTGCCAGCGAGATTTCGGCTGATGAAACGCATCTGCAACTCCCACGCTGGTAACTTGCACCGCAAGGCCAAAGACATGGGCATTGCACCGAACACCTCGACAGCCTGCAGAAAGACTGACGAGTGCCAGTGGCGACCGGCCCTGGCTGTTGCTTCGCATCAGCTTGCGGAGAAGCAGAATTCAGAGCACATGACCCGATCGCAGCAACTTGCGGGGGAATCGATACAAATGTTTCAACGATGTCAATCTTTGGTACGAAGGAGACAGAAAAACCAAGAAACATCAGAACACAGTGAGTACGGAATGAACAACACCAGCAACGAACACGTGAAATTGTTAACATGTTGCGTGTCACGATATCGTTGTGGACCATACTAGTGAAAGTTCTAGCAGCCACATCAGTCAGAAGCTACAGCAATTTCACTACGACCACGGCGACCACGGCTGTGGCGACGACGATGATGACGACGTCGACAACAGCCACGAACTCGACGTCGACGCTGCCTGAAGATGACTACTGCCATTTCTTTACCACTAATCTGTGTTGCTAGTACGACTACTAGTACTACCTGCTACTACTA